TCCTACTTATCAAAACCAACCGAGCGGGTGGTTGCATCACGTTTGAAACACCACATGACATCTAACAACTTGCACGAAACCCTACAATCAGCATACCGCACAGGTCACAACACTGAGACTGCACTCCTCAAGGTCCAGAATGATCTACTGAGAGCGGTGGACACGGAGGGAGCAGCATTTATTGTGTTGTTGGATCTCTCCGCTGCCTTCGACACAATAGACCACTGCATTCTGTTGAAGACACTACAAGACAGGCAAGGAGTAACTGGCAAGGCTTTGGAATGGATTGCGTCTTACATGTCAGAAAGATACCAATCAGTCTGCATTGATGGGCACATGTCGGACAAGAAGGAGCTAGTTTATGGCGTCCCACAAGGATCAGTCCTGGGCCCTATATTGTTCACAGTATACACCTCCCCACTCGGTGACATAGCGGGACAGTACAAGCTTAGTTTCCACCTATACGCGGACGACACGCAACTCTATCTCACCTTCAAGCCTATGGAACAGCCTTCAGTAATAAATGCTTTTCAACAACTCCAAGACTGTGTTGAACACATCAAGGCATGGATGACATCGCATTTCCTCAAACTAAATGATGATAAGACTGAACGGATGATCATCACCCCAAAACATCTACATCTACGGTACCATCTTCCATCTTTTCACATTGGAGACTGGGAAATTCCTATCAGCAAAGAAGCTCGCAACTTGGGCATGACATTTGACAGCAGCCTCAGTCTTGAGTCTCATGTTTATACCATCTGCAGGCGAGCCTATTTCCACATCAGAAATATTGGGCTAATAAGGCGGTACCTCGACCAGCATTCAACCATCCCACTTGTCCAGGCTCACGTAACATCCCGCCTGGACTACTGCAACTCCCTCCTCTTCGGGCTTCCCAACCACCTGATCAAGAAACTGCAACAAGTGCTGAACACTGCAGCAAGAGTTGTCCGCAGGAAGAGGAAATTCGACCACATACAACGAGTCCTGCAGGACCTACACTGGCTGCCACTGCGCTACCGGATACAGTACAAGATACTTGTACTGGTTTTCCTGTCCCTCCATAACAAAGCACCAGATTACCTCAGCAGTCTGCTGACCAGATAACACCCACCTAAGACACTGCGCTCATGTGACAAGTCTCTCCTAACTGTACCCTCCTCCCGTACAAAAACGTTTGGCGACCGCTCTTTTGAACATGAAGGACCCCTTCTCTGGAACAGTCTCCCACTTGACATAAGAACCGAGCAAACATTGTCCACGTTCAAATCTAAGCTCAACACTTTTTTCTTCCATATGGCATTTCATTGACCCTTTTCAATTATCTCAGACACTAGCACTTTTGAGCAGCTTACGCTGGATACTAGCGCTTTACAAATGTATGTAAGTATGTATGTATGTATGTATGTATGTATGTATGTATGTATGTATGTATGTATGTATGTATGTATGTATGTATGTGTATGTATGTATGTATGTGTATGTATGTATGTATGTATGTATGTATGTATGTATGTATGTATGTATGTATGTATGTATGTATGTATGTATGTATGTATGTATGTATGTATGTATGACACGCCAACGCTTTAACCACTAGGCTACCTCCATCTGAAGATGACAACGCAAGAGCACACATGGCTCATACTGTTACTGAGTACCTCTAACCATGAGAACATGGGCACCTTACTGTGGCCAGAACTCAGTTTAACATTGTCTCCTGTCGCACATACCTGGGATATCCTTGGACGACGCGTATTTTATCAACAACAACCAGTGACCACTCTCAACAAACTTGGAGCTGCCCTACAGGATGGAATGAACCAAGTTGACATCGGACGTTTGACTCGGAATACGCCTATTCGAATACAGGAATGTCTTGAGAATAGAGCGAGTGAGTGAATTTAGTTTGACGCCGCACTCAGCAATATTCCAGCAATATTCCATTCCTATAAGGTGGTAGTCTGTAAATAATGGAGTCTGGACCAGACAATCCAATGATCAACAACATGTGCATCGATTATCTGTTGACGTGTCAGTTAGTTCGCTGATAAAATCAGATGCTGCACTTTGACCTTAGTCCAAAGCGTTCTACAGTCATGGCTAACGATTAAGGCACCGATAATGTAACCGGCTTCGTGTCATCCTGCAATGGCTAGCTGCAATACACTGATGTAGGTGAAGACGATGGTACAGGTACCAACAAACCCAGAATGTTGACTATCGATAACCCAGGTCAACGACCAGATTACAAAATCGATCAACGCCAGTTTATCAAATGGCTTCAAACTTTCCTCAGCATAACGACGGATCAGACTAAGACGGGTCAACACTCAGGTCATCTCCTTGTCTGACGCTAGCGTCTTGTGCCATCTCTTAGAAATTATCTTACTGATATCGTGGAAACTTACGTACTCCTCTGACGTGACATGTTTTCAGATACGTCCCGTTTCTTCATAGGCGTCGTATAGATGGGTATGTTATGGTATTGGATGGTATGACCTAGCCTAAGGCTATGTGTGCTTGCATTCCAATGCACGTGCGATCGCTAAAGCCTAAGTTGCACCAAGGTAGTTCTTAGTACGTCCTGCACCGTCCAAAAGATAGTTGTTAAACGGGCTCAAACGGGATAGAAGGTGTAACTTTTGTAAAAATGACGATGCTAGTTTGATCATAAACAGTTCTCAGTACGTCTATCTCGTCTTTACCCCGTCCCCAGACAGTTGGTATTACGTTTAGACTGGGTAGAATTGCCCGTTCACCCCGTGTTGACAAGGTTTTCAAGCAGTTCAATCCCGTCCTTAGTCAGTTTATATCCATTCTGAACTATCTCGTTCTTAATACGCACAACCCCGTTCTAACTCGTTCTTAACTCGACCAACTCGTTTTCAGACAGTTCTTTCCGTTCGCACTACGTTCTCACTCCGTTCCTAGTGCGTGCAGTCGTAATAACAATCCCATTCCTGGCCAGTACCCACCTTCTTGCCTCGTTCCTCAATTTCAAGGTGGAACACTCCTCCAAGGAAGGAGAAGGGTGGTCCAAAAAAGACAGGTCCTGGGAAATCCAGTTCAAGATCCACAAGGGGTGATTCTCAAGACATTGCAGAACTCATGATCATCAATGTGGAGCTCCTCCATCAGTTGATGATAATGTCCCAGGGCTGTTCGCCTGGTTTAAGCCAACTCCTCACCCAACAAGTTTTTGCTCTTTTCCTCTTTTCTTGCTCTACCAACTCATTGTACTCTGATTCCAATAACAATTGCAGGAAACCAGCATTCAACATGTTGACACCTGCAAACTTGTTCATGTTTAGCAGGTAGAAACCTCTATCCCAAATGACGAACGTGTTAATAACGCATGTAGTTATACCCAGCCTTGTCATATCGTACTGCACACGGTGTTGACGTAGTAAGAACTGTGTGAGAACTACATAAACGTACTATCAACGAGCAGAACGTAATTGGAACCCATTACGAAGTTTTGGAACTGTCTAGAAACGTACTAAGAACTTCTGTAGAACAATTTATTTTGTTTCGAACATATTTGCATGGAACAGCAACTAACTAAGGACGAACTGCGGTCGAGTTAGGTCTGTCTGCGAACGGGATGGACGTGGTGGAAACTGTGTACAAACGTATTGCAATCGATGCCCGACTGCACTACGTCAGCACACGTCCCCAGTAAGATTGAAGTACGGCAATTCCGTTTGTAGTACGGCAATCTCGTTTTAAGTACGTTGTCACTCCGTCCCATTTTAGAACGGGTAGAACTATTTCCTATTCCGACCAAGCCTCTCCATAAAGTTCTTACACAGACTGTAAACAGGTGCCACTACGTCCAATCCGTTTTCAAGAACGTAGCTGAGGACGAGTTTGGTGTGATGGGGGGTATAAGGTAGACATTTGACACGCTGCACGTGATTATTGTATTTTAAGCAGTTTTCACCCTTTATGACTTGTTTTTACATCGTCGCCAATACCATGTTAAAACAGCCTGTATGTCATCGCCGTATCTATGACTCAATGAGAAACTGAACAGAATTAGACTATCACAATTTAAACCAATAATGCGGTGTCGTGTTTCTAATTGTGTTGAGTGTACACTATTATAATGAAATATTTATGGCCCACATTATGGGGGTATCTTAACAATCTCCTTTGTGCACCCAGAACTGGTCTTTTCCCTAAGAATAACCAAGTATTCAAGGACAAACATGATAATAATTGATGGAGTGAGTGAGTGTGGTTTAACGCCACTTTAACTAATATTTCAGCAAAAGCGGGCTTCACACATTATGCCCCTACAATCGAACCCCTTTCTTCGGTGTGACGAGCGAGCGCTGTTCAACTTGGCTACACCACATCATAATAAAGGTACATTTAGGGATTGTTATCGATGCCCGAAAAGCGTCCGTTTGTACCAGTTGGATAGTCTAACTAATACCACATCTATGATAGCTCAGACTGTTGATTTCAAGGATGTGTCTTGTGGTTCATAAAACACCTGTAACAAGAGTGAGTTAATTTACTTAAGCAATATTCCCGGCGGCGGACACATGGAATGGGTTTCACACAATGTACACACGTGGGTAATCGGCATGACGTGCGAACGCTTTAACCAATGGGCTACACTCCATCCCCAACCCCCTGCTCCAACGAGCGAACGCTTTAACCAGAGGGCTACCCCACCGTCCCGCAAATTCATATTTTAACAGTCTTCTTTGAATCAATTTATTTTTACATATTATTATATAAATGAACTAGCTGCGGATTACTTTCTACAAACTGTTACAGTGTGTGATGTAAATTACTATTACCGATACACTTGGCTAATGATCACCGTTACAATTCCAGCCAAAACGCCAATTGTCCCCAGTTGTTTCAAGCAGCCCCCGTCTCTCAATAATGCCTTCATCGGTCCCGGAAGTAAGGTCGTTGGATGTGTGCGCAGGTACACTTGTTACCATGGCTACCGTGACACATCTACAAACACGATGACCGCCAACACCACATGCCTTGAGAACCTCTCTTGGAGTCTCGTTTCTCTCAACTGTTCAAGTAAGTAATGAAAAAGATGAAGGAAATGTTCAGGATTTATTGCATTGGTGAATATTGTTTGTGTAGTTCGAGTGAGTGGGTGAGTTTAGTTTTACGCCACACTCAGCAATATTCCAGCTATATGGCGGCGGACTGTAAATAACCGAGTCTGGACCAGACAATCCAATTATCAACAGCATGAGCACCGAACTATGCAATTGGGAACCGATGACATGTGTCAACCAAGTCAGCGAGCCTCACCACCCGATCCCGTTAATCGCCTCTTATGACAATCATGGATACATTCTAACCCAAATCTTCACGGTTTTTTCATATATTTGGAATGTCCGTGTATAGTGTAGGTCTACATATCCTAAATAGTTCTCATATTTGGTATATTCATTTACTATTATGTATACCAGTGCACTTTCTGTAATATTACGTGTGTTCCTGACCCAGTTCCAAGTTGTCTTAGCCAACCTCCCCCTCTCAAAAACGCCAACGTCAGTGACGGGAGTCAGCTTGTTGGTAGTATCCGGACATACACGTGTCACCATGGTTACCGCGATACCTCTGGTAATGAGACGACCGCCAACACCACGTGCCTTGGAAATATAACCTGGAGTCGTGTAGCTCTCAAATGCTTAGGTCAGTACAATCAAAAATAAAACAGCTTTGCATATTTGGCATTGTAATATGGATTTCGTAAAGTTATATATATTTGACATCATGACCAGTGTTCATTTTGAAAAAGTGATCAAAGTCCATCTACAAAATTCAGTATGAATAACAATTCAGTCTGCTCTATCCTTAGAAACAAAATCCGTTTGGCATAAAGGGAAAATTTTAGGAATGAATCGCTGAAATTCAGTGATGATCCATTTGCGAAAAGCATAAGCGTGTACTGTCCTACAAATGCCTTTCACCTTTTACAAAACACCAATTTCTCGATCACGAAAGATAATTTTAACATATAAATCAGTATCAGTATTGCAAGCCGATCTTCTTAACTACAGGATACATCTGGTTGTTTCTCTACAATATCTGTTAGTTTGGGTGTATTTTATATTTCCATCTCCATTCTGTACAGCTGCCTATATTCGGTGTAGCAGTATATTCTCGCCACAACTTTACGAATTTTCGCTCAACTTTATCTATTTTGCATGGTTGTGTATATTGTATTTAGCTTTGTATATTTTGTATAGCTCTATATTTGGTATATTCATTTACTATTATCTATACCAGTGCACTTTCTGTAATGTTACGTGTGTTCCTGACCCAGTTCCAAGTTGTCTTAGCGAGCCTCCACGTGTCAAAAACGCCAACGTCAGTGACGGGAGTCAGCTTGTTGGTAGTATCCGGACATACACGTGTCACCATGGTTACCGCGATACATCAAGTAATGAGACGACCGCCAACACAACGTGCCTTGGAAATATAACCTGGAGTCGTGTAGCTCTCAAATGTTTAGGTCAGTACAATCAAAAATAAAACAGCTGTGCATATTTGGCATTGCAATATGGATTTCGTATAGTTATATATATTTGACATCAAGACCAGTGTTCATTTTGAAAAAGTGATCAAAGTCCATCTACAAAATTCAGTATGAATAACAATTCAGTCTGCTCTATCCTTAGAAACAAAATTCGTTTGGCATAAAGGGAATTTTTGAAGAATGGATTGCTGAAAATCATTGATGATCCATTTGCGAAAAGTATAAGCGTGTACTGTTCTACAAATGCATCTAACCATTTTCAAAACACCAATTTAATCTACTCGATCATGAAAGATAATTTTAACATATAAAGCAGTATCATTATTCCAAGCCGATCTCCTTCACTGCTGAATACAACTGCCCTTTTGACTATAGTATCTGTATGTTTGGAAGTATTTTATGTTTAATCTCCATTCTCTACAGCTGGCTATATTCGGCGTAGCACTATAATTCTCGTTCAACTTCATCTTTCATCATATTTTCTGTAGCTTTGTATGGTTTGTTTTGCTCTATATTTGGTATTTTCATTTCCTATTATTTATGCCAGCGCATTTTCTGTAATGTAACGTGTGTTCTTGTCCCAGTTCCAAATTGTCTTAGCCAACCTCCACATCTCAAAAACGCCGACGTCAGTGACGGAAGTCAGCTTGTTGGTAGTATCCGGACATACACGTGTCACATAGGTTATCGTGATATGTCAACAAAGAAGGGGACTGCAAATAGCGTTTGCCTTGGAAATCTCACTTGGAGTCGTGCAACTCTCAAATGTTTAGGTCAGTACAATCAGAAATGCAAAATTACAGTAGAAATGCAAAAGGTGGCATATTCGGCATTGCTATATGAATTTCGTAAAGTTTGTTATGTTTTGTTTGTAGAACACATTTGCGCATATTTTGTAGAACTTTAGAATAATGAGCATATTATTTGCAGTTAATATTAACAAAGCCTCCCCGATAGCTGATATCCAGACTCTTGTCATTTTACAGTATAATCATAAATGGAAGGATATATATATATTTCTGCTTCATTTCATATGCATTGTATGGATATAACATGTGATGTAATTGGAATTACACTTCCTTAGGAAAGTAAAGATTCTAGTTCTTTCGTATTGTTCAGTCCAAAACTGGTTTCACACCCACACATAAAAAGTCATATGACTATAACCTTCTAGCGCCTAAGAGGCAGCTTGGGTTATCCGGGGTAATAATGGCCTTGATTGTTAGCGCTATGAGCATACCTAGTGTGGAGTTTGGCGCTATATAAATGGACACATTATTATTATTATTATTACATAACATATGCTATATTTGAGTACGTTCAAAATGGCACTGTGCATTCATTGTAAGGAGATTGATTTTCTTGTGCTTGATTAACTAACAGTGATATATGAAATAATGACCTATTTCACTATGTGGACTTAAAACTGCTTAACTTTTATTTGATCAACCCTCACTCCGTTGGAAAGTGTCAGCACCAATTTAGACTGTACCATTTACATGTGTCCGATGGCCAATGTTCCTATTCCAGCGGAACGTTGTCCAAGCAAGCTTCCAACTGTTCAAAATGCCGACGTCAGTAGAGGAAGCCGGACTGTTGGGAGTTCCAGGAAGTACACGTGTCACCGTGGTTACCGTGACAAATCTAATGGTCTAAACATCACCCAAACCAGATGCCTTCAGAGCCTCCGTTGGAGTCCGCCAAATCGCTCCTGTTCAGGTGGGTATTTTAAGAAGTAGAAGCAGTTGTGTCAAAACCACTTTATTTCAGTGTTCCTTTATCTATCCTCAGATCTTCGTCCACGGCGCGATAAAAAGAAATCCGAAATACGAGTAGAGGAAGACATTCCCTTTTTCTGTTTTCAGTTGGTATATGTTTTGCAATTTAATTACAATGCACACGAAAATCTGTCAACAGAATAATTGACACAGCTATGTAATAAGTTAAGCAACAAATGTCATGAATGGAGAATGATTGATAGAGGTTCAGAACTTTTAGTAAAAACTAAAAGAAAATGCAATCGGAAGTTGACTGAGGAGCCAGTCAGTGAAATGGATTACTTCCTTATTGATAATATCTTTGACATATCATGACAGGAAGTAGGCATCTCCATGGGCACCAGAGGTGCTCTCCTTCTTGCTTCTGTTTCATAATGCACATGAATCACAATATCATTGTGTCAACCCACAGTCAGTTGGAGAGCCTATTTAGAATGTACGGATTTCATGTGTCTGACTCATCATTACGTCCGATTCTAATGAATTTATTCCAGCGGAAAGCTGTCCTAGCAAGCTCCCAACTGTTATAAATGCCTACGTCAATAGCAGTAGGGGAAGCAGGACTGTTGGGAGTTCCAGGACGTACATGTGTTACCGCAGTTATGGTGACAAATCTACTGGTAAGAAAAGCGCTAAAGTCAGATGCCTCCAGAGCCTCCGTTGGAGTTGGCCAAATCTTTCCTGTTCAGGTGAGTATGATGAGAAGAAGCAGCAATTGTGTATAAACAACTTTATTAAAGCAAATGCAATCGGAAGTTGACTGAGAAGCCAGTCAGTGAAATGGATTACTTCCTTATTGATAATATCTTTGACATATCATGGGCACCAGAGGTGCTCTCCTTCTTGCTTCTGTTTCATAATGCACATGAATCAGAATATCATTGTGTCAATCCTCAGTCAGTTGGAGAGCCTAATTAGACTGTACGGATTTCATGTGTCTGACTCATCATTTCGTCCGATTCTAATGAATTTATTCCAGCGCTTCGCTGTCCTAGCAAGCTTCCAACTGTTCAAAATGCCGACGTCAGTAGGGGAAACAGGAATGTTGGGTGTTCCAGGAAGTACACGTGTCACCGTGGTTACCGTGACAAATCTACTGGTAGGAAAATCGGTAAAGCCAGATGCCTCAAGAGCCTCCGTTGGAGTCCGCCAAATCTCTCGTGTTCAGGTGAGTATGATGAGAAGAAGCAGCAATTGTGTATAAACAACTTTATTGCAGTGTTCCCATATTTATCCTCAGATCTTCGTAAACGGCGGGATATGCGTGTGTGCGTGCGTGCGTGAAACTGATGACCAGGATTACATAATGAGATATGTTGAAAGCATATAATTACAAATGTTTGGCTACCTATAGTCTGTCTCACAGTCCCTGAACCACATTATTTTCCCTGCTGCCAAGCCCTCTCTCCAACGCTAAAGCCCCTAAATGAAGCAAGTCTTGCGCCATTGTTACCTCATCAATCATGCCTGGATTAACAATCCTTGGCTTCCACTTGTCCATCTACCATTTAGTGCCAATTATCTTCTGGTTTCCCTTGTTATCTGTTAACTGTTGGTGTTTTCACATATATACTCTCCCAAAAAAGAAACGCATATAGGAATTTCAACTGTATTTTTATGTTTATTTTGAAACATCTTGTAAACTTTATGAGTGAATGAAATATAGCGAAATTGCACACTGGGAATGCAGACTTATCCGTCTTTGGCACCAACTCGAGGAAAGTCAGTTTGAGTGTCACATGGAGATGTGTGGTGGCGCTGAAGTCAATACCTCAAGTGACCACCGTGGGCATCCACAACTGCACGGCATCGCCTCGGCATCGAACGAATAAGTCTCAGAATCTCGTGTTGCCCAATCGCAGCCCACTCTGCCTGTAGTGCCTGTGCGAGTTGCTGAAGTGTCGGGGGCTGAGGGTTGCAGCGTCGCACCTGTCTGTCCAGGGTATCCCACAGATGTTCGATTGGGTTTAAGTCCGGTGATCATTAGGGCCAGGGGAGCACATTGAGTGTGACGTGCTGTGTGGGGCCTGGCATTGTCCTGTTGAAACAACTCCCTCTGGCGATCAATGATTGGAAGGAGGTGTGGGCGTAGGATTTCGTCACAGTACCGTTGAGCTGTCAGGTTGCCCTGGATCATCACCAAATCACTTCTCCTACGGCAGGTGATCGCTCCCCACATCATAACACTGTCCCGACCGAATCTGTCCACCTGAGGAACGCAAGCGTCGGCGAAACGTTTACGTCGACGTTTGTACACCCGCATTCTTCCATCGCGTCGTTCCAGTAGAAATCGGGATTCATCACTGAACAAGATTCTACGCCAATTCGGTAGGTTCCAGGCCTGAACGTTGGTGCACCATTGACCTCGATGTCGATGATGTTGTTGTCGAAGCACAGGGCCAAAATAAGGTCTTCTGGCACGTAAACCTGCCTCTCTCAACGTGTTTCTGACGGTCTGTATAGAAAGCCTCTTCAATCCGGGTATTTGTCGAGCAGTACTGGTCGCCATAGCTGTTCGATGACGCAGGTGATGTACCCGGATGCAGCGATCCTGCGCCGCAGTGGTCGCTCGAGGTCGCCCACTACGAGGGGCATCTGCTACCGCATTCTGCCGGCGATATCTCTCCCAGAGCCGTGAAATGGTGCTTTGGTGAACATTTATGCGTCGGGCAACTGCACGTTAAGACTGGCCAGCTTCAAGCAAACCAATGGCGATATGACGGTTGGCTTCACATAGACGTGGCATTTGGCGTTCGTCATCAATATTCCAAATACAGTGAATAATCGACAGACAGCGATCAACTTTTTATACCCATCATTGAGACTATCTGATCCCCAACTTTCACGTGTATTGCATGTGAATTGTGTATTCCGTGACACTACACGCCGAAATTGAAAATCATGCTGTTAAATACGGGTATTTTACGGATGGTGCGTTTTGTTGTGATGTTTCAAAACATAAACACCATAGAACTCATAAACAGAGCAAAACCTTTTGTAAAATGAATCACGTTTTAATTCATTGCTACATGAAATTGCTATTTTCATAATGCGTTTCTTTTTTGGGAGAGTCTACATATATAGCTGTCTTTTACCCTCTTGTTTTATTCACCTGATGGAGTAATAATATAATTTCAAACGCCGTGTCCATCACAATAAAGGTTGACATCCATAAAATCCTTGCCTTTATTTCAAAGATAGTCAAACGACTCTTAATAATTTCTTTGTAAATTTACACATGTTCATTTAACTTATGATAAGTTTAGAATGTGTTCAACTTTTAGGATTAAATATTGACCTTTAATATCAATACTTGTATATCATTTATGTCAAGTAATATACAATTTCTATCAGTTTCAAAATGTGACCAGTATTTCAAAAGCGGCAAACCACATCTGTTCATATCAATTATTGTAGTATCTTTTCATACACATTGAATTTTTAGTTCATAGATGCACCACTTACTTTCAGGAACACAGCTTATTAGAAATCAGGTTTTCTGGTAATCTTTATGACTACACATATTCTAAATATTACATTCAAAGCAGCCCAATGGAACTGGGGAAGTCTTAATTATTTGACTGAAATCACCACATCACCACACGTTTTTATATTGTATTGTTGTTTAAAGTCACATATGTTTATGGTTACGTGCTAGTTTTAAAAGAAATTCTGTGATATCTAGTTATTTTACTATCTTTCATTGACAGGTATGTATTTTATTTGAGGGGGCCTTTATTGATAGATATCTTTCGTAGTCCCTATATGGCTGAAATATATGCCGATGTGACTTTAAATTTTAACTCACTCACTCTTACTTCGTGTGTGTACGTGTGTACTATAAGGACGTCCGTGTTATAAATATGGGTGATGTTAGTGAGTGAGTTGGGTTTTACACCGCCTTTAGCAATATTCCAGCAATATATGCAAGAAACAAAATATGCAAGAAACATTTTGTGTGTTAGGTCGAAGTCCTCTAAAATCAAGCTTAGATATTAAAGTGCATAAAATAGCAATTTGAAACTACAATCGCGTGTTAAAGTCACTCCCCCTTCACTTATACATACATGATGCCAACGGTACAAACTAAATACTGAATGGTCACACAAGTGTCAGCTCTTAATATATTGTCTGCAAGGCCAGCTTGAATATCTGGACACAATGTTTTTAAAAGACTAAAATCTGTTGATTATGACGGGAAGTCATCCAATACAGAACATATTTTTGTGAAATTTTGGATATGGCTTTGCTAATGATTCCTTCAAAATACAATGGAAGTTTTTCAAACACTGGACATCGAGAATATAGTGAGGCCAACTACTTTTTGACCGACACGCGTATATACTGAACTAACCCAAGCAAGACCGTTACAAATAAGACATTAATTCTTCCTCTTTATCTTTACCCTATTCTAATAGTTTATAATAAAGACAACATATAAATTATGACCTTTATGTAACATTGACATTCGACACAAACCTCTACTATGGCAGGAATTTGATTAATTGTTACCCAACTGGGAAAAGCTTCGATTTGTCATGAACTGATAAAGAATATAACGAAATCAAAATATTTTTAAATTGTGTGGCATTGACCTAAGACATTGTTCTGGATCATGTCTATAGTTTTGTACAATTCATGTGGTAAGTAATTACGCCTAAAATATGAACACAGTACTAACAATTGTCGTCGTCTGTACCCCTTTAAACTGTTGAGTATAACTTTCAGCAATATTTCAGGGGTCCAAAGATAATGGCGGAGGTTGGAAATACACTGAGTTTACAGAAGAGGAGCTGAAGCAAATATTTGCAGATTCAACACTCATCTTCCAAGTCAAAACCTGCTATAATGCCATTTTCAACTACGACAAATACACGAGTCGTAAGAATTTAAAGGACAAAATAATCATTGGGGGTGGGGATAATACTTACTGGAAGATTTACCCTTGTTATCAAATAAAAGAAAAAAATATCGTTTCCTGTAAGGAGTTTAGAAGCTTCTGGATCAAGTTTCACGGCAATATAGTACAGGTGGGTAAAGGGAATACAGTAGGGGAGAGAGAAGTCATATCGTGTGAACATAAGTACACGGTCATCCATTTGAGAATTTCAACTTACGTTCGAAATCATGGGACGTGGCTTTTCAAAATACACGGCGGGTAGGATCAGAAATGTTTAAATAAAAATGAAATGATGATCCAAAGGGTTTGGCCTGTTTGATTGTCGTTGTTTATTGATTGCATTTACTAGCTTGTAATTACTGGACTGATAAAGCTCAACTTCCGTCGTCTACAACTGATTGATCGATAGTTGCCGCATTCAGCAATATTCCAGCTATATGGCGAAGGTCTGTAAATAAACGAGTCTGGGCCAGACAATCCAGTGATCAACACCATGAGCATCGATCTAGGAACAATTCTGTCTATTACCCGACTCTCACATTAATAACATATTGTGCGAGATGATCTACGCTCTTCAAAATGATGTTACCTCGATTGAGAAGCACTGTCATTTTGTTTTTAGTTTGTTGTTTAATGTCGAACTCAACAATATTCCAGCTATATGGCGGCGATCTGTAAATAATCGAGTCCACCAATCCAGTCCAGACAATCCAGTGATCAACAGCATGAGCATCGATCTACGCAATTGGGATACAATGACACGTGTCAACCACGTCAGCGAGCCTGACCACCCGATCACGTTAGTCCAAATCTAACCCGCATCTTCACGGGTCGATTGGTGAATGGGAATTTTCTGTAAGATGGGCGCGCTTTAATTGTACCTACGCAGAGCACAGCCCCGGCTGATCCTTGGAATGGCTCTCTGGAACACCATGTTCAAGATATTATTAGTCGCTATATATACACACAACCAGCAACTAAACGTAGAACCTCATTCTAGGGATCACGGGGATGTATGGTACCTCTACAGTTTGCATGGATATGTATTCAGCTACTAATTAACTATGTCTGAACGACAGACGAGAAAAATGTGGTGTGAAAAATGTCATCTCCGCTACAGATTTGTGACTGTACCTCCACTAGCAGACAGTGATTCAGAGGTAGTGTCAGCAGACACCATCAGGAACCGACTGTGCACCGCAGCTGTCCGACCTGGACGACCATACGCAACACCCATCCTGGCACATTTTCACCGTGCTCAACGTTTAACATTGGTCCGTAGGTACACACGATTCAACCAGAGGCTGGGGAACAGTTTTGTCTTCAGTGACCAGTCACACTGTTACTCTGCGCTTGCCGATAAAAGGGTGTGGTTGTGTCGAAGGGTGTACGTCATGCATATTCATGAGACCTGGTCGATTTGGAGGGGCAGGGCAATGGTCCGGGGAGCATAACGTGACAGTCATCAAAGGGATACTGACTTACAGTGTAGGGACCAAGGTTTGGCCATAGTCTCTTTCAGGAATTCCTGCGGCTATATGGTTCTGATCTGACATTTAAACAAGGCAACTATACGCCACCTACTGCAGTTCAGACACGATAAGGTTTATGTAAAAATGAAAACAGTATGTGAATTGCTTGACTTCCTCACTGATTACATCTCTGTCAAATTAAGGGGGTAATGGACATTTGGACATTGGGCTCCCCTACTTGCGGATCTGTTTCTCTCTTCATACTAATCTGAATTTCTGCTCGGGCTGTCACAATTAAAACAAAATAATTTGGCCTTGAATTTTAACATATATCAATGATCTAATATCGTCCAATAACCACCAAATAACCGATTCCCTTCCAGTAACATGCCCACCTCAACTTCAACGTGTGTTTCATATCTGTGCATAAAGCTTCAGATTGATAAAACTCTCTTCGCAAGGCTGTATGAAAAGGGGGTGACTTCAACTTTGCAATAGTCAACTTTTTCTTCATTTCGAGCAATAGTCGATACCTACTTCCTTTTCAGTTACGTTTATGACGAACAGGAACTGTTTTCTATTCCCTGCCGCTTGCAGTATACATTTTGATAGTATGTAAAACCCTGTTTACAATGAACTAAAATCTTGAACATAAAACCAGTAGTCATGGGGCTCCTTTCACGAAGCAACCATTTCTGAGGTTAACCTTAACTCCCTTTCTTTAACATTGCACTAAGGTTTACTCAGTCTTACAATCACCTTAGTGCTTTGTGAAAGGAGGCCCTAGGCCATCAGATTCATTACGCTGCCTGTTACCACAAGCAATACTGGGCTTCTTTTTTCATAACCCATCGAGGTCTCCAGATGTCTTGCAGCCAGCAACGGACACACCAGTTACAAAACATCAAAGACAGTATACGATGTAACAAATATACATCTAACAAAGATAACGTTGAAAGGTCATAAAACATATAGAATTCTAGAAAACATCATTTTTCTGCATATGTCAACCAGGATGGAAATTATAAGAACGTCTATTCTTTAAGTGATTATGTTGATAGTCATTATGCTTAATATACAGATGTTTAGGAAACATTGTTCTGACAAAAAATACCTCCAACTTATTTCAATGATATCTGAGGTGAAGAGCTGTTAATGCATTAACCATGCACTAATTCAAACCCCATCAACAATTGGATAATATATTTTACGTGTTTCCATAAAAAACGCACATAGTGGTATTTACATATATTACAACAAACAACCAAACATTCCCTACATAGCAACAGCTTCTGGGTCTCTACTTGTTTGAGTTGCACACAACGACTTAATAGGCGGAAGGTTTATTAAAGGACACCCGCACACCTCCAACTTCTCAACAAGCTGTATCCGCCCCTGGACTTTCACACAGGTATATAACATCTCACTGTTATGATATAAGAAACTACAGGATTTCTCCTTGTATGTTATGGTCCAAACAGTCATACAAGGCAGCCTCCAGGTCGAGGTACCGAGGGTCGTCCCACAGTCCGTGTGGGGAGGCGTGGTTAGTGATGTACACCACGGAGAGCTGGTTGACAGGGTCACAATAACCGACCTGACCACCATAGCCTGCGTTGCCGATAACCTTCTGGCCCTGGAAAATGCTGACACTCATCATCATCATCATCAGAAGCAGCAGCAGGAGTAGCAAGAGCAATAGCAGCATCGTCATAACCATCAACATCATTGTCGTCGTCATCATCTGTATCACATTCATCATCATAATCACCATCAACATCAACACCGTCGTCGTCATCAGCATCAGCATCACTTTTAATCATCCGCACATTATCCCATGCACAATGCATGCTCGAAGCGCACATTCACAATGATATCAAGTGAATCTTAACAGATGAGGTTCATTAGTTTTCAGGCCAGATTGGAAGAACGAGGAGATGCGAATATTAGACTTAAGAATTTATTTCACACCTCAGATATATGCTAGTTTATCTGTCATGCATGGGGAGCGTACATAACGATCTAAAACGTGATGCGGATTCAGTAAAATCAGGCGAATATTGCTGAAAACATACATTGCACATTTCGAAATATAAGTGGGTGAATGAATTCGGATTTTCATGAACAAACACGTTGATTTGTATCGAAATTTGACGGAATATGACGTGTGTTTATGATATGAAATGTTCGCATGCTTACACCTGATTACCCTTTTACACCAGTTGTCATCGCATATTTTCAGTAATCCATTAATATACTTGTAACTTCCACTACCCTTTTGCCTTGAATCTGTTTCGGCAGGTAATGGAGACTGGTTATTCCTTGGTCTCCACGGTTTATGTTTGCTGCTCAAATACATTACGGTTCTTTTGAGAGTTTAAGTGGGTGAAGGAAGAAAAAGTTTTGAGGTGAAGTTATGGACAACATCAAGCAGGTTTCCTATTGCACCTGTAAGCATCAACTTGGTGTGTGAGGAGAGACTTAATGAATCAGTTCTTGGACGTTCCCTTCTTTGGCAAAACCAACGAGCATAGGTTCGGCGCTAACAAACCCTTGAATATTTATATGCTTAGGGCGCATCTGGGAATCGAACACAAGACCATATTTTTCGGGCGCACAACGAATACCGACGAAAAACCAGTATAATACGTGACAGGGTGTGTCAGCTAGGTTTCTTTTCTGTAGGAATGAAGTTCAAAAGGATGCCTGTTGTAAGGTATACCCCATCGTCTTATTAAATCATATATTCTGCACCCACCTTAAACTTGAAGTGAGGGAGTTCACAGAATCCTACACCTCTGCCCCACTCCGCAACGACTGTGGAAAGTACTAGATCCTGAGCGGTTTATAAAAAATGAGGGCCATTAGTTTCCGCGTTTCCGGTTTTAGAAGTTGTCTCCCTTTGAAATTTCCGCCTATTGCCATGTAACTGAAGAGCTTGTCCACACTGCGAGCAGTCCCAATACCAAGGAACGCTTACTGGCCTATACTCCTCTCCTCAGGGTCATGAAGAACAGTGGCAAACAAAAACATTATAACGAACGTTAGCATTAAGAACCTGGTTGCTGAGTCATATTTTGTCATACATCCCCTCAGCGCTGGTCATACCATGACGAGGACATACCCATTGTACCCCATTCTCTTCCCACAGAGGTTACTTGTCATATCTTCCTACGAACCTCTGTTCTAATACGACCCTTTCATGGTGCGAATGATCAGGATTCGTGATTGGTTGCAATGAGATTTAGTTGTGCAATCAGCGACGTTGTTTCACAAGTGACCATTTGCAAGACCTCGGTAATTTCCGTATGCTTCGGGAAAACTGGAACCTCTTCCCCTGCGCGATGCGCAAACGTTTCGCCTAGACGGAACTCACTCATGTAATGGCGGGTCAATGGAGTCTCCACTGACAACGGACAAGCTAGCCATTAAATCTTTTGTGTGTCACAACAACACAAGTCCCCGGCAGAAGAGGGATATTTGTGGCCCCACATTTGCTTGGATTAGTCAAGTTGGATCTAAGTCGATGTAACACGTTTTCTGATTGGATAGAAAGAAGGGAGATAATTCGTATTGCGACTTTTTTGCCGCTAGGGGATTTTACGAGAACCGGGAAATATGGCCGTATTAGAACAGAGGTTCGTAGGAAGATATGACAAGCAATCTCTGTGGGAAGAGAATGATTGTACCCATATTGTAACACAATGTGCTTGGCACAAATGTACCTGGTTGTGAGGTATTGACGATAAGAGTTATTTTGATATCAATCGTACATGCATCAATTTTGATTGACTTAATTATTAACACTGCTTTGGTCGAAATAAGTTGCAATCGTTGCTACAAACATCCTCTGATCGGTTCGTTGACAACGTTCATATTTAGTGAAAGTAAATATCAATTGCATTTCGTAAATTCGACTTCAGCTTTTGTTAACTAACTTTTTCATGCAGCTCGCATATAATTGTGTGAAAACGAAAAAGGTGCTCGTGTTGTGTCCAACGTTCCCCAAACCTGATATCTTCACTCTTAGTTATTCATGGTGCTTGTGTTGTGTCCAACGTTCCCCAAACCTGATATCTTCACTCTTAGTTATTCATGGTGCTTGTGTTGTGTCCAACGTTCCACGAACCTGATATCCTCACTATTACTTATTCATCGTGCTTGTGTTGTGTCCAATGTTCGCCAAACCTGATATCCTCACTATTAGTTATTCATGGTGCTTGTGTTGTGTCCAATGTTCCCCAAACCTGATATCTTCACTATTACTTATTCATCGTGCTTGTGTTGTGTCCAGCGTTCCCCAAACCTGATATCCTCACTATTAGTTATTCATGTTGCTTGCGTAGTGTCCAACGTTCCCCAAACCTGATATCCTCACTATTAGTTAATCATGGTGCTTGTGTTGTGTCCAACGTTCCCCAAACCTGATATCCTCACTATTAGTTATTCATCGTGCTTGCGTAGTGTCCAACGTTCCGCTAACCTGGAGCCGTATTAATAAAGATTCTAAGAGTGAAAAATAATTCTTAACTCTGGTTAATTCTAAGAATAAATCAATTTTGATCCCCCGCAACGCGTTTTGCGGGGGATATTAAAATAGACTCCGTACGTGAGTGCGTGTGTGCGTGCGTGCGTCCGTCCGTCCGTCCGTCCGTGAACATTTGTCTTTTCCGGAGCAGAACTCTAAAACCGTTCAATGTTTCTTCACCAAACTTGGCACATAGATAGATCTGGTGGTGTACTGGTGCCTTTTGGTAGTTTTGGAATTCTGAATAGAATATTTTTGGCATTTCCATGGCAACAAGTTTGACTTAGCCTGAAATTGGTGGTTGTGCTCTTTTCCGGAGCTGAACTCTAAAACCGTTCACTATTTCTTCACCAAACTTGGCACATAGATAGGTCTGGTGGTGTACTGGTGCCTTTTGGTAGTTTTGGAGTTCTGAATAAAATATTTTTGGCGTTTCCATGGCAACTAGTTTGACTTAGCCTGAAATTGGTGGTAGTGCTCTTTTCGGAGCAGAACTCTAAAACCGTTTACTATTTCTTCACCAAACTTGGCACATAGATAGATCTGGTGGTGTACTGGTGCCTTTTGGTACTTTTGGAATTCTGAATAAAATATTTTTGGCTTTTCCGTGGCAACAAGTTTGACTTAGCCTGAAATTGGTGGTAGTGCTCTTTTCCGGAGCTAAACTCTAAAACCGTTCACTATTTCTTCACCAAACTTGACACATATATTGGTCTGGTGGTGTACTGGTTCCTTTTTGGTAGTTTGGGAATTCTGAATAAATTTCTTTTTGCATTTCCATGGCAACAAGTTTGACATAGACTGATCGAAATTGGTGATAGTGCTCCTTTCTGGAGCTGAACTTTAAAAACATTTCAATACTCTCCTTCCACTTTTCTATATACACACCTAAATATTTGACATAATCATAACTCGTAGACATAATCATGAAGAGTATTTTGCCATTGCGGGTCATATTGATGACTTTGTCTTCTTGTTAATCTTAAATGTAAGATTTTTCTTAAGTCATATTAATAAAGTGATTTTACTCTTAGAATTACTCTTAACTTTACAAAAAGTTAGGAGTCCTCAGCATGTACTCCTAGCAAGTTAAGAATTTTCTTACCTGAGAAAAGATGGCTGCTCAGCGTCACCACCTGAGAGTTTTTCGACCACGAAAAGATGTATTTAATGAGTATAATGATACTGAATTGATATCTCGGTACCGCCTGGACAGTGGTGGCATGAGGTTTGTGACCGATTTGGTGAGAAATAAGCTAACGTCTCCAACCAAGCGGAATATGGCCATAGACGCTGACAGCAAAGTTGCAATTACCCTTCGGTACCTTGCCACAGGAAAAATGCAACTTTGCAACGGAGAAGACTTTGGAATAAGTCAACCCTCAGTTAGCAATGTCATCACAGAGACTTTAAATGCCTTTTGTAAACCACAACTTATTGGCCGTTTCATGAGAATGCCTATAAATTGTCGCCATCAACGCCATCAACGCCAGTTTCATGCCATTGGTGGATTCCCGGGTGTCGTAGGGGTTATAGACGGCACCCATGTGAAGATAATTGCACCAACCGAGCATGAGAATGAATATGTTAACAGGAAGAACTTCCATTCGTTGAATGTTCAGGTGGTTTTGATTACGACGACAGAATCTCCGACATAGTTGCGAAATGGCCGGGTGCTACACATGACGCACGTATCCTGAACGAAAGTGGTGTGAGATTATCGTTTGAACATGGAATCATAACTTATGGTTGCCATTTGCTTGGAGACAGTGGTTACCCGTGTCGCAGATGGCTTTGACACCATTTATTCACCCACAAGCTGGACAACAGACAAGATACAACAGGTAAATATTATGAAAACTTGTAACATGAAGAATGAGTGTGACTTCCCTTGGCAAACGGGATACCTAAAAACATTGTATTATACTGGAACGTAACAAATCCTTATAAAAATAATGCAAGTATATATATAATTAATTATCATGTATATAGTATATAATATTATAATAATATTGTTAAACAATTTTAAGTCTGAGACTCCTAGACCTCTACATTACTTTGATGTTTATTTGTGTGTAAAATAAATCAAAACCCTTGAAAATATTTACTTTGTGAATGATTATCATTCATTAATTTTACTTTGATAAATTAACGTAGGTATGTTTCTTATTTTGTTTATACCTTTGATATTTGACCTATTTGAATAATGATAATATTATAAAAAATATACACAAAAAAATTGTTTGACATCAAATATAGCCTCCCTGCAAATTAAATTTTTTTACTATATTAAAAATCAAATGATATCACAGATTTTTCTACATTTCTAAAAGTAATATGAAATATTTCAGTGCACACAAGGCAACTAGATGTGTAGTGGAACGAGGCATAGGACAGATGAAAAGAAGATTTCACGTTCTTCATGGTGAAATTCGTCTCAAACCCCAAAAGGCGGCAAAGGTTTGTAAATTCAATGTCTTACCTCCATTGTTATTGAAGAAATTGTGATATTGTTAATCATATGAAATATCATATTTGAATCATCATTTATAATGGAAATGCTTTCATGTATTGTTACACAAAGGTAACTGTGAAATGTATGTAATGAGATTGAGTTATTTCCAAAACTACAGAATTTATTCTAATGTTAAATAAAAATAAAAATATAGAGGCAATTTCTATTCCTTACAATGTACCTCAGAATGTAAGATCCTATATCAAATGTAATATAACACATTAAACAGGTTATAACAGTTTGTGCTATGCTGCACAACATCTGCAAAGGCAGAAACATTGGCCTGCCTCCAGGGAATCCTCCACTACCAGGCAACAATGGCTTCAACTTGCCAATCGTCCAACCAGCTGGGAATGGTCTCCGATACCGACAGCAGTTTGTCAACGCTCACTTCTAAATTGAAAGGGATAATCTTAGATGCAATGAGAAAGAAAGTATTTTATTTGAACAACCAATTTTATTGTGTTCAATTCAACAGACAACAGATAAATAAATACAAGTTAATGACAAAAGAAATTTTCAAAAAAGCATCAACAGTATAATTTACTTTTAACAATTTATGAAAATCAAAAAGTAACAGTTCATTAGTTGCTCCATATGTATTCAAAATTTCATTAAGATAGTGTAAATCAATATAAAAAGGAGAAAATTCACTTTTAAACATGTGGAAAACATAATTGCCTGCCCTATTTTACCTTGTAATACAGTGAAACCAGCCAACATCAGCACCTGTCTAATCCGGCACACTGTCAAAACGGGCATACAAATTTGGTCCTACCATTTTACAACGATATTATGATCATTAAAACATTTTCTAATCCGGCACCTATCCCAACAAGCAATTTTAACTGTAATTAACATTTTCTAAACTGGCATAGGTATGAGCAATGCAATCAAGGACCCATAATCCAAGTATCTCCAAAATAACTTGTAGTAAACAGTTTCACAAAACACTATGTTAAATATGTTTTATAAAACAAATGGCCAATAAAAATGGGAAGAAATATTTGTTTGAGACTTCCAACAGAATAAATTGGAAAATATAATTTGATGGCTAATCGATGTACTCAAAATGTTAATCTAAACTGGTTTCAATACAAGATAATTCAGAATATTTTGACAACTTATAATCACGTGCATAAGACTGGATACATTGATTCACCTGTGTGTTCAATTTGTAAATAGGTGCCTGAGATTGTTATACATTTATTACGTAATTGTACGCAATCAATCAAAGCATGGAAAGAGTTGGCTAAATGGTTAGGAAAGTTGGGTAAAGGATACATTGATTTAACACCTGAAAATAGCCGTTTTTCATGTACAACGTGAACAATATTATGTATCTACACATAGCTATGTACTTGTAAACACCTGCTGGAAAATAATGGGTAATGTGAGTAAGGACTTATTTCTTGCATGCTACCAGATGCAGTCAAACGTGCACAAGCCATGTTTCATATGCACTATGAAACAATACTGTATATCTACGCATACCTATGTACATGTAAACATCTGGTGAGAAATAATGGGTACTTTGAAAATACCTTAGGCCCTATGAAAAAATGTCATCCACACTTAATAATTGGTAATACTCTTTTTGTGAAAAGTCATGAACACATATCATAATTGATAGAATTGATAAAAATGTTAATGAGATAAGCATGTAGGTAAGTACTCTTTTCATTATCGTTAGTCAGAATGTATTTTTTGTAACCTTTTCTTACCATACTAAAAGCCAAAGGAAGTTTTCTTAAGCAATAATTTATATGTTTGAGTTGATTTATGATCTGATGAAAAGTTCTACATATCATGCTTAAAGTTCATTTTTAAATTTTTTTTATCTTCAGTGTCTAATACTGCAGCTGAGCTTCTAGGACATCAAGTTCCAGCTGGCGTTACCTGGCCTGATGGTTCCTATCTTGATCCGGGCAAGGCAGTGATGGATTTTGTACAGGCTGGAAGTCCTGCGTCTGCATACTGTATGTGGGCTGCGCCGTCTGCACTGTCTGCACTGGAGGCATTGCTGCAAACAGGCTCTCCTTATCCAGTGAAATGTATATATAAAGAGTAGAAATAATGTGCACATGTTATTATACTGTAAGATACAATGCTGTTGTATATCTTTTTATGTTATTGTGATGTATTTGTTTGTATGTATCCATGTTGATTATGTAAACTGATTACGATATAAAAAAGTTCAGGGTGTCAAATACTAGATATACTAAATATTGACTAGTCATCAATAACTGTCCTCCAAACACCAGCAAGTGTTTATCCTGTGTGTGATACGTTCATCCCTGCTACATCTATTTTCTAACAAGATACATGTAGATATTTCTTATAAAAATACAAAAGGAGAACAACTTCACACATTTAGCATAAATAGGACTCATTATTTTAATAAAGTTTGGTTATATAATTATGTATTTGCAATTTCAATTGCAATTTTACCTTGTCATATCAATGACTTGGAGAAAGGAGGTGTCAACGCCTTCCTCCAGTCCAGAAATGGAAACATTTGTTTCACCCAGGATTTCTTGGACTGTCTGAGCTACAGCTGAAAGTTTGGCAGTATTTGGACCACCCCCTGTAAATGTATGATGTAAAAATAACATATAATAATTCAAACATTATAAACTAAACATTTGCCATCATGTTATCACTGACCAAATATTTCTAATTCCGTATCTGTACATCACACTTTTAAACTAATGATAGAGAAATGTTGTCATTCAGATAATATTATTAACTTATTATCCCTTTGCATTTTTATTGATTAGATATTATGTTATACTTATATATTCTGCTAATTGTACAGATTCAGTGTAAATTTTTTGTTGTTAGTGAATTTTTGTTTGTTTTGAAAAGTTGCTTCATCGAATGGCATGTACATGTAAATGGCACAAAATTAAATGATGCGATGAAAATCAATGAACATATTTCTGAGCGTTGCATTTTCCAATATGTATTCTGCATTTTATATATATATATGTTTACTGGAAACAATTAATTCCTGCAGAAGCAATCAAAGGCCTTGGATCAAATAAAAATTTCATGCGTGTTATCCTCATCATCAACCCTGATAATACTGCTAGATCAAATTATGAAATAGAAACATTTTTCATTTCATTTTCATCTATAAAACATTGTCACATTGATATCATCATTGTTTGTTAGGGTACAACCTAGTTTCAATACTGGAATTTTACCCGTACCTGTTCCAGTGATTTGTTGATTGTATGAAGCAATTTGCTGACGAGATATTGATAGAATGTTGTACCACTTCTTTTAACATTCGTCAGGCGTTCTGACGACATGAGGAAAGGCCACTGACAGTTGGGTGGCAATCGCCTGCCATGCAGATTTCTTTGTACTCACTGATACCTTTTGAGAGAATTTCCCTCTCAAAACACTCTTATTTTCTTCTATCAACTGTACAAGTAATACATTTTCATCAGCTGACAAAGTTGGTTTTCTTTTATCTGAGGTCCCTTTCTTGCATGACATAACTTCTGTTTCAGTGACAGTACTCGTAGACACCTGTTTACAATCTTGCCAAACAATATCGTCTGATTCAATCAGCGCGTGCAACCACTTACCACATAAAACAAACTAATTAGTATATAGTTCGTAAATCAATTCCAATATGTATAGCCTATACAGTACACTCACCTCAAATATATTGACTTCCTTATTCGTAGATACAGTGGAATCAGCATCTTGTATCCAGGGTAAACAAACACGCCACATAAACGGAAGCGGAATTCCTACATTTCACTCCACTCCAACTGGGCCGTTTGTCGCTTTACGATGACGCCATTGGTTGGCTATAAATAATGCTAGGGGTTTCCCCAGGTCTGTGGGGATTCCGCGTTCTCTCACGGTATTACGGTTATCTGTTTGTTAGAAACATATATGAAAGTACGATGGAAATTGAAAGTGATAATACCATTGAAAAAGTATATTCCATGTACTTTATATGTTCAGTTGTGTTTTTTCTATTTCCATATCAATTTTTATATTTATGATATATGAAAGATTCGGACACATAATGTGACTGTACACTGAGAAAAAAATGTAAAGTTACCTTAATTCACCCGACAGGTGCTTGTGAGATCACATGACTATCACGTGATAAAACATACGATCTGAGAAAAAGAAGAGTTCTATTGTTACTATAAATAGTTATTCAGTCCTTGGTTACAACACTTAAGAATTTTCTAAGAGTTGTCTGTCATACTTAGCTAAAAGTTACTTTAAGATTTTTTTTGATACACTCCTAAGAATAACTTTTATCTAAGTGTGACTTTTAGGATTCTTAGATTGTTTCCAAGAAAATTCGTAGAATCTTTATTAATACGGCTCCTGATATCCTTACTATTAGTTATTCATGTTGCTTGTGTTGTGTCCAACGTTCCACAAACCTGATATACTCACTATTAATTATTCATGGTGCTTGTGTTGTGTCCAACGTTCCACAAACCTGATATCCTCACTATTAGTTATTCATAAATATGTTGTAATCAGTATAGCGCAATGCACTGTGCTTTTGGTAGAAGTCGACTTACGTTTCAAGTATGGGATTACACTTTCTTAGTAACCAACCAAATATTTCTGTCCTGTGATAATAGTGATCCAACCAAAACCCTCCAGCAAAAACCTCCACATGAAGCTTTGAACTACCGCTGTGGTATGGGCGTTACATAGTTGTTTTCACCTTCAGATGGACACCATGCAGGCCAACCTGAGGATTCTTGTTTGATTTTCAAGAAGGGGTTGATGTACCTGGCAAACGAACAACCTTATTTGGTCATTTTGTCATACTGGGTCGATCTGCCCAGTGATAGACTTCATACACTTTCATTAATGCATAGCCTTTCTCAAGTGCTTTGAGTAACTCCGGAATGCACCATGTCCCATTGAAGCTACGTTCTTCCTCTGTGTGTTGACATGGTGTTTGTTGGTCCGTTTCAGCACAGGTTTGACACAATGCGAATTTGAGTTTCTTCGATCTCTTGAGCAAGACTGGATGATAGAGTCCTCGAGGGGATAAGATCTTGACTTTGGCAATGCCAAAGTACTGATCTAGAGATTTGAAATCTCTGGTAATGATTTGAAGGGTGACCTACATGATATTTCCCATATTTGTTGTCCCAAGGGTACAATGATGTAAAATCCATGTACCAAATGTGTTCCTTCTCTTTAGTTTCATAATACAGCTTGGAAGCAGTAGTGTGTCCACCAAAACAGAATATCTGCGATCTAAACGTTCCTGAAGATCTAAGGTGGACACATATGTTTTCAGTTCAGGTTTGGTTTTCAGTTCTTGCATGAAATCATGTTCCCAAATGGTCACTAACTTGGAACCCTTCTCTTTGA